AAGCAATCCTGAAAAATATTTGGGGGTGCTTAACTTTTTTCCAGGTGTATATTTTATATTTATGTAAAAACACAGTAATTGTGTTTATTTAAAAACTGAATTTTTTCAATCCTCTTAAAAAATATTGGTGTGAGAGTGGGAAGACTTCTGGAAACCACATTTTTTACTTGATGCTCTACAAATTTTTTTTTACTTTATTTGAAAAAATGTTTATTTCTTATTGAAACTTTTGCTTTACCAATACTATGTTTGCTTTAAATTGTTTAAGCAGTGAAAGATGTGGTTATTTGATGAACCTCTTACAAAAATTGGTTTGGTCAGATTCTTATCACAATGACACTGTGAAGGTTATTCACATTTCTGTTGGCCAGATTCTTCAAAACACACATAACTGACCATTGTACATTCCTCTTTATTTGGCTTATATGTACATAACTATATGTTCTAGATTCTCTAGAACAGAAGGAGTATGCAAATCAAATTCTAGAAGTAAGTTTGTATATCCCATTTAAAAGCAACCCTAACATGCACTGGTTGCAGCCCTATTTCCAAGTAGATAGGCTTCAAACTCTAGTAATGCTTAGATTTTATACATTGAAAATTGAGATGCAGCAAAATGTGCTTTCATGATAAATGTAAAAAAAAATCAAAATATGTCAAATAATCTTATATGACAAGTAGGTAATTTGAAATTGGAGAGTTGTAAAACTATCCAACTAACTAGCTACAAAGTCAAAACCATCAGTCTGGTTAACTATCCTACCAACTGGCCTACATAGTAAAAATCACCAGTCTGGACAACTATATCAACAACTGGCCTCCACAATTAAAACTGCTGGTCTGAATTAATTTCCCACCAATTGAACTACGTAGTGAAAACTACCAGTATGGACAAAATATCCTCACAACTGGATTGCATAATCAAATTACCAGTCAGGATCAGTATTCCACAAACTCATTGATAAATGCAAACAATTTTAGAAGCATAAAATTTGGAATAAAACAAGCCTTATTTCTCGATGAAGCACAGATTTAAAATGTGTGAAAAGACTGGCATTCCAACTTTTGTTTCTTTTGGTTACTATGGAACCTATGAAAACAAACCTAACCCATTAGACAGATACCTAATAAAAACAAAACTTTCAAACATGCCATTTTTCAAAATCTACAAAATTAGACTAAGAGTTGAAACTGAAAAGTTTATAAGTAACAAAATTACTCTATATTATTGTTTTGTATTAAAATAGCAAGTTGTAAGTATAGCTTTTCACACTTTCATAGTTTTTTTTTCTGTTACATTATCTTGATCTTTTACCGACATTTCTTTAGCAACTGATGTTCTGTCATGAAGACTACTTGTTCCCAAACATTTCTATTCCTACATTGATTACAGGACAAGTTTGGTTGTTTTTTGTTTTTTTTACTTTACTTGCTTCATAATAAATTAGAGAATCTTGAACTTTCTAATGCTTAATTTTTTTTTAAATAATACAAATGAGTCAGTAACTCTTTCTCACTAAGACAACTAAACTGATGTTAAAACAGTGATATTTACACTAAATCATAATCTGTTAATACATGTACAAGCCATTCAAACCAAATGAATACATAATTTCATGTCCTTAATAACATTTTTAGAAATTATTTGTTAGTTAAGTGATAACAATGTACACAGTCTTTTTTAATGATATTATTGGTTTTCATTTCAGCAGAACAACATACCTTTTGAATTCTTGGAAAACAGCTTCAGGTTTTGATTAAATGATAATTTAAAAGTTGTTTGGCCTGATGAAGCCAATATACAAATTATCTTATCTACAACACAAATAGTGCTTTTTACAAAGGCTTGCTGAAAATATTTCAGCCTGGAACCATGCCTATGATACATGTACAATGTACTTATCCAGCTACACAATGTTTTAATGCTAGAATAATAACCTACAAAAATCTTTTAAAGCTCAGAATCAACCACAGTACTGAAGAATACAATGCGTAAAACAAAATTTTAAAACTACATGGGTAGATCATGCTATCTGTTATTAAGCAACTATTATTTCATTTTGATTTATTGGAAAATCCAGGAGCAAAATCCAGGTTCAAAAAATTAATTTAACCTTTGCTTCACAACAAGTCATCAGAACACAGCCCTGATTCAGCTACTTTGTTAAATATAGACATGTTTTGCTTGATCTGTTACTTGTTTAACACTATTTTTTTTTCTTTAGCTATCTTCTGATTATAAAGAATAATAATTATCTCCTTTTTGCTTTATAGCAAATGTATATTACACATACACACACATAAATAATAATTTGCTTTCCCACAGACAAAAGACAGAACTTGTAACCAAAAGATATTTACAGGAGGTTACGCCTAAGAGAAGTCTTTTTCTTGAAACTTCTTTAGTTGAATCATAAATACAGCTAAAAATATTTCATTCTTATGTTTAGATTAAAAAAAAAATGACATGCAAGTTACAGCATTGACCAATTATCCTGTTTTAAAAATAACTTGACAATTAGGTTTCAGAGCTCCAACATAAATGTTGTCTCATACTAGGTGAAAAAGTACTATTAGCTAAATACATGAAAGGATATTTCTTACCTGCTGCATTTTTTCAAAATCCAAGCATGGCCGTTGGATACTTCCATCCCCACTTCCACCATTACCATACATCTGTCTGTGTCTTTTACGAGGGGAAACAGAACAGACTTCAAAAGAGGGAATGTTGGCAAAGGCTAAGTTAAAGACTTTTGGTGGGGATGAGAGAGATCTACTAGGTTTGTGCACATTAGTAGGAGGGGAAGCACAAAACTCCACAGGAGTTGATACACACAACACATCATGCACCTCATCATCCGAGAATGCAGAGATATCTCCACTACTTAAACAATTTGCTTGTGACCATTTTCTTTTTTTCAGGGTATGTGCTATTCCAAGTGATGACATTTTCAGCACAGTTAATTACTTCTAGCTCTTCTTCAGAGCTATGATGATCAAAATTATTATCACTGTCACTTGGCAATGCTAAGTCTAATGCTGACTCAGGTAGAGGACTGTCCCCAAATGAAAGTTGTCGTCGAATTTCACCATATGTGTATACATGTTGATCTGTCACCAGAAGAGGGCTTCTTCCTGTCCTTGATTTTCTTTTTCTACTTTCCATCTGAACATTTTCCATAACTGTAAAATGTTTGTTTTTACTCTAATAGTAGTTTGCGAAAATCAAGATATTGAGCAAACAAACTGAAATTTATTCAAAATACTTATGACTTTCCAGGTTATCCTTCCAGTTCTAAGTATCAAAACATGTAATATAAAAAATAAAAACATTGGGAAAATTAAGCAACTAAAAGGGATACATACACACATATCTAAAAGCAGCACAATATAGTTGAAATTCAAAAACATGCCTCTGCGACCAATCCTTACTGTCATCCTTAAGTCACAAAGGATTATGCCGGTGGTCATAGCACCAAAATGCGTTGGGGATATTCCATCTGTCAAACGAAATCCAAACACTGAGGAAAAACCTGCCAGCAACTAAGGAGAATCAATTAAGGGTTAGGAATTGAGTGCTTGAACCAACATCAACTCAACTCCAACTGCCTTTCGCTGTCTGCAGCCAGTTGTGGTAAGGCAGTAACCCTTAGTACTTAGAAATAACTTTAATGTAGAATTAAAACAACCCAATAAAAATTCGATAAAAATATTCTACAAAGTAAAACACCCAAACTCAACCCTTTTAAATGATGTTAACCAAAATAAGAGATTCTTACCATTTAATCGCCTATGAACAATTAATGTATTGCATAGTATGGTACTTATTGATTTGGCAAAAAATGATGTTAAAGTGTTGATCTAATCACCCTTTTCTCCTTTTTCCTATTGAAGAATATTCCTCTTTAGGATTTTTCTACTACATTGATATACTGGTTCTTAGCCTAGCTAGCTACTTGCCAGTTATTTAAATAGGCTACTTCTTTTTATCAAAAAAAAAAAAGAAAAAAAGAGAGAGAGTTACTATAGCTCAAGATGCCTAACTTATCCAGTTGCTACAGATATTCAGCATTTACGTCAAGACATACTACTATGTAAAATGAATAATTTATCTGTTAACTTGTGGTACATGTGGTCTTAAGTACATAGGGCAAACAACTAATCCTTAACTATTAACCTACATAGGTCTCAAAGTAATAAAGGCTTTCCTCATTGCATTGAAATAGATCATTTTAACAAAAATTACTATTCTAGAAAAAGTACATAACACCAATTTATTAACAGAATACTTTTACTTAAAGTGTGGATTCTTTAAGTAAAAGTAGTTGTATTATATGTATATTTTGGATTAATAGTTATAATGTTAAAGGGAAAAAAATCTGAGGTAAAGGTAAAAATAGATTAATTTTGAGAATTTTTGTAAAAAAATGTAGATTCTGCTTTTGAATGAAAAATTTATACAGAACAACTATTTGAATTAAATGATACAAAACTGAAATATTTATCAAAATATTTGTTAAATTTTTAATTTAAATTTATTCACATTAAAGATTTAATCATAGATTTAATTAAATTTTGATTAAAATGGAGCCAATTTCCAAAGAGTATTTCAGGAAAAACAAAATAGAAAAATTATATATTGTAATAGATTTCAAACATAAAATATATTATGATTTAACTTTACCTTTAGTTCATAGAAATGTTCAGGAAGAAAAATTCTCTATTAAATCATTATAACCTATAGCCAGTTTTAAGTATAATAAACTTAAAGGACCCCTTCTCTTTAATTGTAAAATGTTTATTCAGGAATTAAATAATTTGTAATGTAATTGTATCAATAGTGAATTTATTGTCTCTTATCATAATCTTGTTATGACAGGTAATTTAGATATTATAAAAGATAAAGAATTAAAACAAATTTTAGAAAAAGAAACTAAATTTAGAATCTTAAAAATGACAAATAAAGGTGATATTTTAAAAGATTTGGAAAAAGGTATTGATGATTATATTATCAAAATCAATAAAAAACAAAAAAACTTGTTACACCTGGTTACTATATTTGAATGGAAATTATTTTTTATTCATTTTATAAAAAAACGATTAAGAATTTTAAATTTTTCTAAATATAAGATAGATATTTCTTTTAATAATTTTACAAATAAAATTAAAGAAATTCAAAACCAATTTATTATTACACCCATTGTTAAAGCTAGTTGTAATTTTGCTTTTATATGTAAAAAATTATATGTACAAATTTTAACTAGTGAAATTAATACAACAAATACTTGTACAAAAGTACTTTATATTAATGTTCTATTTTTAATGACTTTCTTCAAATTAGTAATAACTATATTTTTATTTAGACTCTTCTTGCTTCAAACTACTATTTTTATATTTAATTCCAAATCTACATAAAAAAAAACTATTGAGTTCAGGTATATTACCAACTTTTCAAATATAGTTACTAAATCTTTTGCTATAATACTTAATATTTTGAATATCTTATTTGAAAAAATAAAGTTACCATCTTCAAATGATTGGAATATTTCTGGATCATAAAAAAAAACAATATTCCAGTTTTGGATTGTTTAAGTAATTTAAACTCTTTCACAAACAGCCAACTCTGATTATTTATGATTTCACTACTTTATATACAAAAATATATCTGAAAGATATAATTAGGGTCTTTAATGATCTATTTGATAATTTTATAGATGCAGAAATAATTACTTAATAATTAATAAATTCACCAAATATTAATAAATTATATGTAGTTTTTGTATTTTAAATAGTAAAATCACATTTAATGATGAAGTTTATAATCAAACAGTCAGTATTCCAATTGGCACTTAATTTCTCTTCAAACATGGCCAAACTGTATGTGGTTTCTATAAATATTCCTTTTTAAAGCAGGTGTTAAACCCAAATATATATATATTTGCATACTTTTATCACACAGATGACTTAATTTCACTTAACAACCAAATGATCCAAGAATTATATATCCAACAGAGTTTATAATAAACAGAAGTAATAACAGTGATATACATGCTCATTATTTAAATATAGACATTAATTTAACAGAAGGCAGTATACAGTTAACTATTTTTGATAAGAGAAGGGAATTTGTTTTTCCCAGCCTTGGTTTACCCACCCGTAACAGCATTGTTCCATTGGTATTGTTAAAAGGGACAATTATATCCCTATTATAAGGATTAACAATCTGTAATAACAGCAATTCATTTATGCATAATGTTAATTTATTCAAAAATGAACTGAAAAAATACCTGTACATTAAAAGTCCAAAGACCAACAACTACAAAAATCAATGGTATCATGTATACTTCAAGAGTGACAGTCATACAATGAAACTGAATAAACAAACAAAATCCATTAAAATTGATTGCATTTCCTCTATATTATGCAATTTGCTACAATGACTTAAAAATTGAGATCTCTCTCTCTCTTTTCGAGATATAATTTCTTACGAAGCAATCCTAGCTATGCAACATTAATTCAACCAAAACATTTATGCTTTTATATTCATCTTCCTCTGAATTAAAAGAAAAAAAAAATTAAGTGAAGATTATGATTATAAACACAGATCTAAAGCTCAGCTCAAAGCTGTGTATTAGGAGATAAGTCATGCCTAAAGGTAAAAATCCACAGGCATTTATATCTACCCAGTATAAAATATGCCTAGCCTTAGGCTGAGATTACACTTAGTTCTCTGACAAAATGAATAGGTACAGACGAAGAGCATAAAGAAAACTACTGATGTATAACTATCACACAAGTTCATAGAATATTTGCATACCTTACATATTTCCAGGACTTTAATATCAAGTAATACTATATAATAAAGCTGCTTAATAATGCAAGAATCCAGACTGACCTAGAGGTTTTAGAACAGTATCTGCACACTAAAGCTACACTACTGTTTACATAAGATTTGTTGATATGCTAATCAAGAACAACTCTTCACTCACATTTCTGCAATTCTTCTGCTTCATCATCAGGATGTGGCTCATCTTCAGTATGTGACTAAAACAAATGACGTGATTACTTTTAATTCCCTACAAAACTTTTATGTCATCGTGCTGTCTAAAACGTGGTTCACTTCATACTGTGGAATGTGGATATCTTCATAATACTTTCTAAAATGTATTTTACATCATATTGTTAAACTTAGTTTATACCATCATAAACTGTTCAGACAGAAGCTGCTTACATTGTCACAGTGCCCATAAGGTCAACTTTAAAAGAAGCAAATATATTGCCATGCTGTTTAGAACATGGTTTACATTGTAGTTGTTTGCATGATTTTCACCAATGTATACAATTATTAACAAGAACCTCTCAGTGAAAGTAAATAAAAAGTAGATAATCATGAACCACACTACATCTGTTACATCCAATGAGAGCCATTTGTCCAATACCAGAGATTTTCATGCTGACTTCATACGACATAACAGTGATTGAGAAACTATTTATATTAGTAAATTGCTTGATACTTGTAATGGAAGTATTAAAAAAACCCTAAAATAATTTAGCTGTGTGTGTGTGCGTGCGCGCGCGCATTATTCAGACCTCTTAAAATACATACTGTTACGTCTCCGTTTGTTAATTGATTTTTTCCGTAACTTCGTTCCGACGAAATTTTAACGACACAAGTCTTTACTTGATAAAACTGGTTTATTCTTTCCGAATATAACTTTACCGATACACTCAACTTCAACAATCGCGCTAAACGAACGTCAATAATACTTCTGGCTGCAGTTCAATTACTCACTAACTATACACACATTACCTTACGTTCCCGCGTCACGTTTTCCCCTCTTACTACTAGAGCATTCGCCAAAGT